CGCTGCTCACGTTCTACGACTTTCTAACGCAGGAGCCCAGCGTGCGCTCTCTGGAGGGTTTCCTCACCTCCACCAGCCTGAGCCGCGTGCCATATCTCAAGTCGCTGACGTCGCGCTTCGACCACGGACCGACTGCCAGCCCTGCTGCTCTGCCCACGCCGCACGAACTCTTCCTGAAGTTCCGGCAAGTGAATCTCTCGGTGCTGGCTGCCGCTGGCCATGGCGAACTGGTGACCTTCTCGAATCCCCGCCTGTGCCAGCGCTTTGCCAGGAGATCGCAGCTGAACTACACGCACTACCTGAAGCAGCACAGGGGCGCCTATGCGGTGTACTATCTGATCACGGAGCAGCTGCAGCTGTACGGGCAGATAACAAAGTCGCAGCTGTTCCATGCGTGCGAGACGACCACGCAGCTGGCCCTGCAGCACGCTGGGGATGAGGAGTTGGTCACCCACTGTGTGGCCTGCTGCGAGATGCTGGGATTCGACACTCAGCCGCTGCGCAGCTTCCTCCTGCTGCAGCGAAACCTGCCAAAGCGCCAGCAGAGCGAGAGCTACTCGGATCTGCTGGCCAAATGGGACAGGGAGCTAGTGCAGCGACTCGAGGAGCAACCCAAAGACTTCCCATTGGATCTGTATCAAGCTCTGATGCGGCTGGCCATGCGCAACATTCCGGGCAACTTTCCAGGCGCTCTGCTCCAGTATTACGCGTCCCGCAACGATTGGTGGCACCTGCTGCTGCTCTTCCAGTACTTTGATCTGCCCCTCACGGAGCTCAAGAAGCTGCTGCCGCACTTCAAGTCCACCCCGCTGGGCGTCCACCTGCTGCGTGCCCTAAGCTACGAATCCGCCAGCGATCGCCAGCACAAGCGAAGCTCCAACAGGCCCACGCGCCGAGGCGGCGTCGAAACGCAGACAAACTCCTCGCAGGAAACGATGACGAACTCCTCGCACAGTTCCATCCAGGAGGCCAATGTGCAGCAGCAGCAGCTGCAGCAGCGGCATACGGATCAGTCCGTGTGCAACCTGCTCACCCACTGCGCTCGCCAGGATCTCTTTGCCATCATCCTGTGCAGCTCCAACAGTCTGCCCGACGATGAAATCCCCACCACAGCCAAGTTTCTGGAGTTGATGCAGGGCAGCACACCGCAATGCAGCAGTATCAACCTCCTGCGGCACTGCATCAGGGAGGAGATGCCCATTCTCGCGGTGCTGGCGGCCACTCTGAGCAGACGGAACCTCGACTGGTGCTGGCTGGTGTGGCTGGCTGTGGCCAGCGGACAGTGGAGCACGCTGCTGCTGCGCGAAGACGATCGCTTCGAGTGGGTGTGGTCCGTGATCCGAGGCGCCGTTGCCGGTGGCCACGTGAATGCTTTGCTGCACAGCTTCGAAATCTTCCAACCGGTGAGCGGGAGACATCTGACTATCGATTCCCTATGCTAATAATTATTCACTTTCCCTGTAGGATTGCAAATTTACGCATCTTTGCCGCTTCCTGCAGCTGACGGGCCACCAGGAGGACTTTAGCGATGCGACAATTGTCGAGCTGCGGCAGTTCTTCTGCAGCTGGAGCAACGATGCCGTGACGCTGCCGCTGTGCGCGCCTCTGCCGCGCAAGCAGATGATGCAGCGCTCCATTGGGCTGCTGCTGATGCAGCTTCAGTCGAACTTTGATTGCATTCTGCAGCAGCAGCGGTTCCTGGACTGCATCTGCCGCTCCGACGTTGGCGACATTTGCGATCTGCTCGACTTTTGCCTGCTGCACAAGGTGTTTGGTGTGGCCGCCACGTGGCTGTGGGAGCTGGCCATTGATCTGGAGCAGCTGGTGCGGCGGGACAGCTCGGAGTACAGGCGTCTGGTGGATGCGCTCACCGAGGCGAAGGCATACGACGAGGCGCTGCAGCTGTCCGCTTTGCTGCAGCTGCCACTCAGCGACATTGTCTATGGCAAGTGGCTGGCGGAGCTGGACGCTGGAGTGCTGCGTCCCCGGCAGGAGTACGAGCGGGAGATCGAGCAGCATGCCCTGCCGCCGGCCATTCTGGTGAACTTTCTGCTGCAGGCAGCCACGGGCCACCAGGCGGATGGCCTCCGTCGCTACGAGCTGCTGCAGAGTGCTCTCGGCGTGATCAAGCAGCACCATCTGTTCCCCAACGAGTCCTTCGACAGGGATCAGATCGAGTACGACATGGTCGTGTGCTACCTGCAGCTGCCCGTGGAGCAGCTCTCCTCGCTGGCCATCTACCACTCGGAGTACTACGAGCAGATCATGCTGCAGGAGCGACTTGTCCTCTACAAATCCTTCTCGGAGCTGAAGGAACTGGCCGGCATCGATGACCTCAGCATTGCTGGCAAGACTCGGCTCACCGCAGAGATGGAGGCGCGTCTGGACGGTCTGCTGAACACGCTCCTGGACCGGGGCGACATTGTGGAGGCGCTGCGGCTGCAGGAACTCTTCGAGTATCGGCCCAACGATCTGCGCTTCATTGTCTTTGCCATGGCCCTGGCCGAGGGCATAACCAGCATCGGCAATCTGTCCAGCAAGGAGCGCCAGCTGCTCGGCGAGATCGAGAAGAGCGCGTTCCCAAAGTTCAATCGGATCACGCTCAATCAGAATGTGATGACGCGCTGTGGCAGCGATCTCTCCGACAGCTGCTCCGACTCGCTGGCCCTGGAGTTCGAGGAGATACCCTCCAAGGAGAAGCAGCAGACGCTGGACACTCTGCTGGGCATTGGATCGAAGCTGAAGGCTGGCGTGGAGCTGGGCAGACGCATTGTGCTGGCCTATCGGGCCGCCATGTACCTGGACAAGGAGTATTTGGATGTGTTGCGCACCAAGGATGTCCACGTGCTGCTGAAGAGTGCCGCCGATGAGGATTGCCTGCAGCGTTTGCTCGTCGTCAGCGACATACAAATATCCACAAAAATGACCCCAAAGGAGGTGAGATAAAAACCTCCAACCAATAGAAGATTCATTCAACCCTTAACCTTTCCCTTTCCCTAATCCCCCGACAGATTGCTGACAATCTTGCCCTGGAGCTCGCCACGTGCATTGTGCGGCCGCGCTTTTACATCTTCAATGCCAATCAGCAGCCAAGGAATGCGCTGAGAAACGCCGATCTGTGGGGGCACAGCATCGATCGGGATTTCCACTTGTTCCTGGAACTAACGCCAAACACCACGCTGCTGGGCAACTGCCTGCTGGACTACTGCGAGGCGCTGAAGGCCTATCGTCGCTACCAGGACGGCAAGGCGTACGAGGAGAGCGAGCCATTTGAGCGTCTCTCGGGAATCATAACGCTCTATGGAATGCCGCAGGCCACACCGCAAGGGGGCGGACTCTCTGGCGTGCCCCAAGTGCTCTCCCACAAGAAGCAGAACCAAATCTACGTGGAGCTGCTGATCAAGGCGCACTTGTGCTTTGTCCACGAGTGCTCCATGGAGGGCATTGCCAGCGTCCTGCAGCGGGCCAAGCAGCTCAATGGGCAGCTGGCCAAGGCCAAGTCGTGGTCGCTGATTGTGCGCATGCTGATTGGCATTGCCCGCTATCGGGAGATGTTCTACTGTTTCGATTCGCTGATTGAGAACGAGCAGTTCGAGTCGCTGCTGGGACAGTTCGATGAGGATCAGAAGAGTGGCCTGCGGCAGGCTATTCTCAGCTACTTGCGCGAGTATCAGCCAAAGAACGGCAAGGAACTGCTGCGACTCGCTGCTCTGCACTTTCTCATGTACAAGGAGCTGGCAGAAATGTGGACCGAAGAGGCCCAGGAAGTGGTCAGCCGCGTTCAGGCCATGGCAGAGTTTCAGTCCAACGAATTGAAGTGCTCCTCGGAGGTGCAGAATCTGTTGCAACAGGCCATGGAGAACTACACGCATGCCACGGAGAACTATCTGCTGGACAACAAGCTGCTGCTCGCCCAACAGAGTGTCTCCCGCGCCGAGCTGATTGCCGTGCAGCTGGACCTCTGCAGCAAGGCCCTGGAACGGCGCCACAACAACAACTCCCCGCAGCTGTGTGTGAGCGTCATAGGTGTACGCTCAAGGGAACAGTTTCGGGAATTGGTCAACACACAAATAAGGTATGAGAGCAAGGCATTTGATCATTGATTCCTAATTGAAGTCCCAACTTTCTAGCGTTCCACAAACTTTGATATTGAGTCGCGCCTACGGCTACGATATCAACTGGAGCGAGGCCATTCTCTCGCAATTTGTGCTGCTGCAGAACCCCAACTATCTTCAAGAATATCTCTGCCATCGGCGCTTGAGTGATGATGTGATCGAACAAGTGGTCAAGGGGTAGGCATAAAAGTACTCACACAGTTCCTTTTCCGGCTTAACTTTCGTTCTTCTTGCTTCCATTTAGGTACTTGGTGCACGCCCAGAGTAATGCCACAACCGCCAAGCAGGAGCAGTCGCTGGCCCATCTGGTGGAGCTGCTCAAATCGGTGACACTCAAATACAAATTGGCTTCCATTTTGGGCCTCAAGCCCATTCTTCTGTCGCTGATTAACGATTCGCCGGTTTACTATTTGCGCGACACGAACTTCGGACGCAGCGAGTTTCACACGGCAGCGGACACGTGACACATATATTATTGTGATTTTAAACCATTTTTATGCACTGAATACGTTATAAACAACATTTTAAAACAATTCTACCTGGTTTTTGCCATTCACTACGATTTCTTGCCGCGTTCACTTGTCAGGGATGCAGAGCCGATAACAAATCATATGGCTCTATCCAATCTATATCGCAACAATTTGCTTACATTCCATTTACCTTTTTATTTTGAACCTTATATGTAAGCTATAGAGTAAAACGAAAGCATAAAAACTAGCCAACCGTATGGAGAATTGATTCATCAAACGAATAAAATTGTTCTTTCGGTGTTGAGAGTCCCACCTAGCCGATAATATAAAATGGAATACCAATATCGATTAAATCTTGTTCCTCGATTTGGTATATTTACGGTATAATTAAAAATGAGAAGGTATATTTCGGTATATTTGTGAGGCGCGTTTTCTGATTCGAATTGTTGTTAAAAATAGCTAAACTTTTCCATGGAAAGCGCTTCCGCAGGCGCTGCTGCCGCCGTTTGGGTTTCAGCTGCAGCTCCTGTGACAGCGGGGGGCTTGGATCCATTCCAAGGCTGCACAGTCATTCGGCCAAAAATCAAATACAACAAATTGCCCACAAACAGAATGGCGGCAATGCCCAGAAAAACAGAGCGCCATTGCGTGCGATCCGACTGTAAGGCGAGAATACAAACATTTTCCCACATGGCAAATGCATTCTGATGTCAAAACTTACCTCGTCGGACACAGCAAAGCCTATGATGAGCGGCGATATGACACCGGCGGCCGACATCAAAGTGTTGCTGATGCCGAAGAGAAGCCCCGCAAAGTTTGGAGCGAGGTCCACGTGGTTGAGGGAGCTGCCAATGGCCTGGCCGGAGATGGCAGCCACCGCTGCAATCAGGCAACAGATGCTGCCCACCACATTCTGGTCGCTGACGTAGGTGAGCGTCACCAGGGCGATGGCGGGAGTCCACGAGGCGTACGAATTGATGGTTTTGCGCAGAATTGGCAGGGGAATGTTCCGCCGGCGCGTCAGATACTCCGCGAGGAAGATGAAGCCATAGGAGGACATCAGCATGATAACAAAGGGAAGCGCAGAGAGCAGCGCGTTCATCCAGATGCTGTACCGGAAGATGCCATGAATGTAGCGGGGCACCTGCTGCATCAACGTGTAGAAGCTGCAGGCCTGACTCATCTTGCAGAAGGCCAGCACGAGGAAGGGACGTGAGGTCAGTATGTGGCGCCAGGGCACGGCCAGTGGCTCGCCCTTGGCAGGTTGACTCTGTTCCAGCGACAACTCAATGTGTTTCCTCTCTGCCAGCGAAATGAACTGCGATTCGGAGGGAGAATTGGCGCCATAACGCAGCCAGAGCAGGCACCAGGCGAACCCCACGTAACCTTGGAGGAAACTCAGTCAAAGATGGGGAAGGATTTTCTTTGCCCTTACCTGGCATATAGAAGGAGCTGGGCCAACCGAGTGGCGAGGCGGCCAGTGCGCCGCTGAGAGCAAAGCCCAGCGCTGTGCCACAGTCCAGGCCAGTTGTCATGATGCCACCGAAGCGATTCTGTTCCTTTTTGGGACACCATTTGGCCAGGTGCGTGTACAGGCAGGGCCACATGCCGCCTATGACGAGGCCCTGAACGAGACGCACCCCGAAGAGCAGCTTCCAGCCACCCCAGGCAATGGAGAAGGGCGTGGCGACGCTGATGAGAGCCGTGGCGAGGGATATCACAAACAGCAGCATCTTGGCCCCGAAGCGACTGGAGAAGTAGCCGCCCAGCAGCTGTGTGCAGCAGGAGCCCCAGAAGGTGCTGCTCAGGATGTACGATTTCTGCTGCTCCGTCAGCTGATACTCTGGATAGTCTGGATTGCTGCTGTTGGCATTCGTGATCGCCACAATGGCCACGCTCATGTTCATCCGCTGGAGTATGACCAGCGAGGCGCACGTAAAGAGGAACAGCACCTGGAGATGACGAACGCCCAGGGCGGGCCCTGCCAAAGCAAAAGAAAAGACTGTAAGAGCGAACTTTGAATTCCACTGCAAGCGATTCGGACCTTTGGTCACCAGGGAAAACGACGTGATCGTCATTGCAAAGTGCAAGTGCAATCCGGTGGCAGCGACCACGCACTGACCCGTCCAGTTGGCACCACAGAACTGACCGAAGTGGGGAGTGTACCCCACACACACACCTCACACACATGACGTCGATGCGAAACTCGTTTGCTGTGCCAAAAACCACGAAGCAGGCTGCACCGAAACTTGATTTCTGATTTTGTGTGTTCTTTTCTTAGCCTGCAAGGCAGCGACGTCACTGAACCACTTGCAGCGCTGCAATCAGCAGGGAAACAAGAGCTCTTTCCACTGATAAGATGCAGCATGTGACCTTTGGCTACTTTGGGGCATAGAAAGGAGCAACTAAAACTCTCAGAAATAACGCTGGAATTGCTTTCCAACTGCCTCAATTTGACTAATTGCCAGAGTGACGATCCATTGCCAAACAATAACAATGACGCGTAGAAAATTCATTCCAAAAACAGTAGCTGGCACAGGCAATCATTTCTTATCAATTGGCAAACACAGAACCACAGAACCGGCACTCTCCCAAGTCACCGAGTCACCCAGTCACCCAGTCACCGATTCACACAGTCACCCTGGCGCTTGATATGAATCGATTTGATTGAGGTAATTGCTCTCAAATTGGTTCCGGCTCTATGTTTTATCAGATGACAAAACGATCGATGGTTAAGCGATAATTATTGTTGAATTTTGCCATTGATTAGATACGAAGCCACAGACCTTACTCAATTCACACGAAAGAAGAAGGCCTGGTCTGCAAATACACATGTTTGATCTTAAGGTTGATGCGACTTACAGGTGTTTGGCAGTGTCCGGATGGTAAGGAATCAATGGATGGGTTAGGATCACCCAAGGCCTGGCACACGCTTCGACTTTAAGCTCTTTACCACTGCCCATAAAGGACGGAAAGTACGGATTGGATAGAACACAGACCTGGCTCAATCCACGCTAAAGAAGAAGGCCTGTTCCCAGACACCCAGACGCTTCGACTTAAAGCTGTTTCCCACTGCCCAGAGAGTCGGCCATCCATGCCACAGTCGTCCATTAGTTAGGGCACAGACCTCACCCAATTCCCGCTAAAGAAGAAGGTGTGCGATCCACAAGTTAAAGCTGTGCCGCGTGTGTTATACGATCCGCTTTCAGGCATAGCAATTCCCCGATCAAGTGTAAATAGAGCCGAGTACAAAGCAGAGAGGCAAGTCAGTCAACAAGTTTATTTCTATTTCTGAGTATCACAATTATTTTCAAATTTCATTTGTGGCCCAAACAGCTGTGGCAGCAATCCGATCGATCCACTTGTCTCTGCTGCAGCACCATTTGTAATTGAGAGTTGAGCGTTTTGTTCGCGTTTCGGTGTGAAAATCCCATATAAATATTCGTGCTTATATACATTTAAAAGATAAATTAAGTGATTAGATTAGGGTCCTCGATTTCGAGTGCCAAAATCACAAGCGTTTGGCAACAAAACAAAGCGAAACGAAACGAACCGAACCGAACCGAAAGCGAATCCAATCGAAATCGAATCTATTGCAAATAAATAAATTTACTCAAGTCCCGCGCGCATGTCACGCCTTATAAATAGAATAAATATAAATTACAACCTACTTAGAGTTAATACTGATTAAACAAAATCAATTGTTCTGTTCGACACACAACTTCCGCCACAAATCACTCATCAATCCGTCGCCATCACCGTGTAGCGCTCGGGCCAGCTGATTTGCTGCTCCCAGACGGGATCGATGGGTGGCGCTATCGCTGGCGCTGGACTCCGCTTTTCGCTGCAAGACTCCCCATCCTTCGGCTGCAGATAGTCATCCGCATCCCAGGGCTGCGCCTTGGCCGTGCCCCAAACGAGGAACACGCAATTTCCCGCAAAGAAAATGATGGCTGCCAGCCCAAAGACGATCTGCCATTGGCCACGATCGTGCTAAAGAGTTGGGAAATAACCAGAGAGAGAGAGAGAGAGAAAAACACATTGATTAGGGTTTCGGTTCGTTTCGGGGTTTTTACACTCAGTGGCAGGGCCTGAGGCTCTGAGGCTGGCTGACTCACCTTATCGGTCACGATCTCCCCGGCAATCAGTGGCGTGAGGATGGGTATGATATTCGCCACCGTGTTGCTCAAACCGATGAGAATTCCGGCGTGATTTGGCGACAGATCGATGGTGTTCAGGGAACTGCCGATCGTCGCCCCACTGTTGACGCCCACACTGAGTGTCATCAGCACAATGGCCAGCACTTTGTTGTCCTCGTTGAGGAACCCAATGGCGATGAGTGCTGCGGCCGGGATCCAGAAGGAGAGCGTATTGAACACCTTCCGCACGGCCGTCAGGGACAGGAACTTCTTCTTGAGCAGCACATCGGCGGCGATCAGATAGACGTAGGAGAGCAGCCACATGGCCAGGAAGGGCAGCGACGAGAACACCGCATTGCTCTGGATGTCCATGTTGAGGACGCCGTTCATGTAGGATGGGAGCTCCGCTTGGAGCGTGCTCAGGCCGTAGGTCTCGGCGCAGCGGGTGACGAGCAGCGCGATGAAAGGCACCGACGTCCAGATGGCCTTCCACGGAATGGGAATGGTTCGCTCGTGGAAGTCCTCGTTGTGCTGCAGCGACGACTCGATGTACTTGCACTCCGCCTCGCCAATAAACCTCGACTCTGGCGCATTGTTGGAGCCAAGCATCAGCCAGAGGACACACCAGACGGCACAGAGGGCACCCGAGACATACGAGATGCCCGGCCAGCCCATGGCACTCTCCGCAATCATTCCACTGATGAACATGGCCAGCACCGTGCCGCAGTCGGTGCCCGTGTAGCTGAAGGCTCCCAGGCGATTCCTCTCCTCCGGCGGCGACCACATTGCCAGGTGCTCCGTCACGCAGGGGAAGATGACGCCCTGGAACAGACCCTGCAGGATGCGGATGGCACAGAACACTTGCCAGCCGCCCCAGGAGATGCACCATGGAGTCATCACGCTGAACACAGCCGTGCCGCAGCTGGCTATGAAGAGAACTACCTTTGCGCCGTACCGACGACACAGGAAGCTGCCGGGACAGAGGGTCACGATGTAGCCCCAGTAGAAGCTGGACAAAATGTACGATTTGTGCTTCTCCGTCCAGTCGTATTCCTAGAGTCAGACCACGTCAGCATTTGGGAGCGTCTTTGGAGCAACTTCGTGCCACACACTCACCGGAAAGTTTGGATTAGTGGTCGCTGCATTGGTCATGGCCACGATGGCCACGCTCACATTGAGCCGGGCAATGTGCATCACGGTGAGGCCGAGGAAGAGCAGAAACGATTGCAAATGGCGAATGCCAATGCGAGGCCCTTTAGTCGCTTTGCTGGACATGATTTCGCGAGCAAGCCGATGTGAGAATTAGGATCTGCACTGTTTGGTTGACGGATCGGCTCTGTGCCTTTTCGCTATTGTTTGGCCAACATTTATACGACAGCTGAATGGGTGCTATGCCTTCGGGTGCTGCTTCGGCTGCTGCTTGGGCTGACCACATTGCCGTAATCATTCACGGCACGGCACGGTGACTCCCACTGAGAGATGCCCCGTTTTGTGGTGGAAGGCAAACAGCACACAGCACACACACGCCTAACTTTGACGCAACTCCGCGACTCCAGAAGTTGATTGACGTCCCAGATCTATTGTACCAGAGAGAGAGAGAGAGCGATGTACATATAAGTAGTATCAGCAAATATTGATGGATTTACACAGAGTTGAAGTGGTAGCTGCAAAACACTCTGCTCCGCTCCACACTCCCAGTCCACACACCCCCCTTTTTGCCGCACAGACTTGTTTATTTGCTCAAAAGATTTATGGCGAAAAAAGCTTCGAGCTTTCCAGGTGAAAATTTAAAACGGAAACCAGGCAAGAGCCTGGCCAGCAGCTAGCTTCCAGTTAACACTGCGAACCGGGCCATAAATGAATGATTTTAATTTATTTTTTGAATATTATTCTTTATGGTTCTAATCGGGCGTTTGGAACAATGGAACGCGCCAGATAAGCGCCCTGATGCAACCCCAGCCTAAATAAATAATAAACTAATCGATAATGTGCCCAAAAGAATCAAAGGAGAGCCCAAAGAGGGCCCGTGGAGTGCCCGTGGAGAGTGTGTTTACAATCTTTCCATCGAATTTATTGAACTTTATGATACATATTTAAACAATTATAATCTAGAGCTAAACCAAGCAACTTCTAGCTATTCGAAACTCGAGTGATTCCCCCCACTCGTCGTGGCGCACTCGTCGTGGAGCACTCGCCGTCTGAGCAAAAGCTCCACGGGCCGGACGGAGCTCGAGTGTACAAAGATTAGGAGGTGTAGGAATGCTATCGGGTTCTGGAGAGTCGGAAGAGTTCTGCTGTGTGCTATCTGGACTTTTCGTCAATTGCCTTCGGCTTGCCCTCGGCCAGCTCTTCGGCCTGCCCTCGGCCAGCTGGCTGTAGAAAGTCTTCGGCATCCCAGGGCTGGGCCACGGCCGAACCAAAGGCCAAAAATATGCAATTCCCCACGAAGAAAAGAAACGCCGCAATGGCAAACACAATCTGCCATTGACTGCGATCAGCCTGGAACGGAAAAAGGGAAATCCATTAATCAGGGATTACATCCCCGATATTACAGCTGATCCTTACCGTATCCTTGACGATAAATCCGACAACCAGAGGCGTAACTATGGGCACCACATTCGCTGCAGTGTTGACAATGCCCATGACAATGCTGGCATGATTCGGCGACAGATCGATGGTGTTCAGGGAGCTGCCGATGGTGGCACCACTATTAAAGCCCACACTGATGGTCATCAGCACAATGGCGAGAGTCTTCTGATCCTTGTCGAGGAACCCAATGCCAATCAGCGTGGCGCACGGAATCCAAAAGGCCAGCGAATTGAAGGTCTTGCGCAGCGCGGTCAGGGACAGACGGTTGCCACTGAGGAGCACATCGGCGGTGATCAGATACACGTAGGACATGCACCACATGGCCAGGAAGGGCAGGGCCGAGAAGAAGGCGTTGCTCTTGATGTCCATGTCGAGAACGCCGTTCATGTAGGAGGGAATCTCGGCCTGCAGCGTGCTCAGGCCATAGGACTCGCAGCAGCGAGTGATCAGCAGAGCGAGAACCGGCAGCGAGTGGAGGATGGCATGCCAGGGTATGGGAATGACCTTCTTGTGGTAGTTGTCGCTGTGCTTCAGCGACGACTCAATGTAGTGCAGCTCGGCGGCACCAATGAACCGCGATTCGGGTGCATTGTTCGAGGCAAACACGAACCAGAGGGCACACCAGACGAAGGCCACTCCGGCAGACACGTACGAGATGCCCGGCCAGCCGATGGCACTCTTGGCTATCATGCCACTGAAGAACATGGCGCACACATTGCCACACTCGATGCCCGTGTGGCTGAGGGCGCCCAAGCGGTTGCGCTCCGCTGGCGGCGACCAGCGAGCCAAATGCTGATGAATGCACGGAAAGAGCAGTCCCTGGGCAAAGCCCATCAGGACACGAATGCCGCAGTACGCCTGCCAGCCGCCAAAGCCAATGAACAGGGGAGACAATGCGCTGGTAACACCGGAGGCAAAGGAGCCCCACAGCATCACAGTCTTCACGCCGAAACGCTTGCACAGATAGCCGCCAACGAACTGGGTGACAATGTAGCCCCAGAAGAAGCTGGACAAGATCAAGGCCTTGTGTGACTCGGACCAATCGTATTCCTAGGGGGAAGGAGCAAAGGGAAATGTGAGTAAAAGGATCACACAAAGGGGGTGGGTCATAATTTACTTACTGGAAAATGGGGATTGGTGGACTCTGCATTGGTCATGGCCACCACAGAGACCCCGACATTGAGGCGTCCCAGGTACATGACGGTGATGTTGAGAAAGATGAGCAGCGCCTGGACATGCCGCATGCCCACCACGGGTCCTGCAAGAGCGAAGGGGAAGGTTTAGTCATCTTTTGTCGTATCTCGAGTACTTCCTGCCGTTGAGTAAATAAATCTGAATTGCACTCGAGGCATGGCTATCGATGGAATAACCCACAAACCACACGATTTATGACCCGTTCGGAGGAAGGCCACTTGTGGACTTTAATCAGGCCATGGGCGAGTTCTGTCTTGGCACTTAAAAGGGAACTACAAACTGCAAAAGTACTCCCTTTCGATGTGCTCAAGGTTGACCTTAGAGAGTTCACTGAAATCCAAGCTCCTACCTTTATTTACTTCGACTGTCATCCTTGGGAGTGGATTTTTGAAACACTTTTGTGGATCCCCGTGCGAGCTGCAACGCTGTTTGAACTCGAATGAATTGAATTACTGGTAAACTTTGGCACAATTCGATTTCAATCGTACGACCTGATAATCGATACAATGCGCCTAATCAGCGTTAGATTATCCTGTGATAAGGCAGCGGATCGAATCGGATCGGATCGGAATGCGTGCGTACGCGTGGATCGTGGAGTTTTCTTCCACCAGAGACTGCACTGTATTCAAGCGAACAAAACACCAAAAACCAAAACAATCAATTGGCTGTGGAAGCGTAGTAATCCACGAAGTAACATCCAGAGGGAGAGCCAGAGCCCTGACCTAAGCCAATAGTGGAACGATCTGGCAGTCATTAGCTGATAGCTGATAGCTGATCTAAATCTGGACCCACTCGAGATAGCCAGCAATCTGGTAACTATCCAGGAGCCATCCGCCAGCCGTTGCCCGAGGGCCAAAGTCTTGCCAAAACACAACAGACGCTGCCTTATCGATTCCACATGGTTTTTGGCACCCCCCCCCCCCCGGTGGATAAACTGAAATGTCAATTTAATTGAACAACCATCGATCTTGTACGTCAGTCAAAGAACTCTCTGATAGCTACAGCAGTAATCTACTTCCAGATAGTGAGAATTCTCCCTGACGGTTCCAAGTCGAACTGCCATTCCGCTACGTTTAGCTCTCAACCAAATTGACACGGAAAGTGGTTTTGGTATCATTTATTTTGTACTTCTTACAGTCTAAAACTTAACAATTAGTTTTGAATATTCTCAGATTTTGTGGGGCACGGACCAGCCGCCGTGGAGTATGCTCCTTTTGGGTTCGATTATCTTGCAATTTCCTCTGATCTTTCGCTTTGTTGCGCCTCCAGGGCCTTGGCATTTCCCTGCTCCTGCAGATTGCTGGACATTTGCTTGTCCAAAAAGTCAGGCGCATCCCATGGCTGGTTGACCATTTGACCAAAGAAGAGATAAATAATGTTGCCCACAATGAAGATGACGGCCGCGATGATGAATACCAACTGCCATTCGCCGCGATTGTGCTGGAAATGGAGGGAATCAAAATGAGTATCATGGGGAGCATGGAGCAGGAGGACACACTCACATCATTCGTTACGATGACTCCCACCAGGAGAGGTGTCAGGATGGGCACAACATTAGCCGCTGTGTTGATAATGCCCATGAGAATGCCCGCATGATTGGGCGACAGATCGATGGTGTTGATGGTGCTGCCGATGGTGCTGCCCGCATTGATGCCCACATTGGCACACATCAGGACAACGGCCAGAGTCTTCTGATCGCTGTCCAGGAATCCAATGCCAATCAGCGTAAGGGCAGGCACAAAGAACGAAATGGAGTTGAAGGTCTTGCGGATGCCCGTGATGGTCATGGTTCCGCCTGTGAGCAGAATGTCCGCAATGATCAGATAAACGAAAGCCATCACCCAGGAGGTGAGATAAGGCAGCGCCGAGAAGATGGCATTGTTCTTCATGTCCATCAGCAGGACGTCGTTCATGTAGGAGGGCATCTCCGTCTGCAGCGTGGAGTAGCCCCACGACTGGCAGCAGCGCGTAATCATCAGCGCCCAGAAGGGCACAGAGCTCCAGATGGCTGCCCAGGGCACCGGAATGGGACCCTTGGCCTTCAGCTCCTCCGCCTCCTTGGCGCGACTCGAGTTGATCGAGTTCTCAATGTAGTTCAGCTCCTCCTCGCTGATGTACTTGGACTCGCGCGGTGTGTTGGCGCCAAAGATCAGCCAGATGACGCACCAGAGCACACCGACGGCGCTCGAGATGTAGAAGATGCCGGGCCAGCCCATGCTCGAGGCGGCAATCTGTCCGCTGGCAAACATTGCCAGCAGCGTGCCACAATCGAGGCCCGTGTTGGCCAGGGCGCCCAGTCGATTGCGCTCACTCACGGGACACCAGTTGGCCAGATGGGCGTGGATGCAGGGGAACAGGAAGCCCTGGAACAGGCCCATGGCCACACGAATGGCACAATATGCCTGCCAGCCGCCCCAGGACACGCACCAAGGTGGCAGCAGTGCGAGGAGAGCCGATCCAATGGTCGACACGAACATGGTCATCCGTGCGCCAAAGCGACGGCACAGCCAGCCACCGAGGAACTGTGTCATGATGTAGCCCCAGAAGAAGCTGGACAGGATGTAGGAGCGTTGAGCGCCATTCCAATCGTATTCCTGGGTAAAGAAAGGGGAGTTCAAGGTCAGCGACTAATGGCTCATGGCAGAGTGTAAACTTACAGGAAAATCCGGATTGGTGCTCTCGGCATTCGTCATGGCCACAATTGCCACGCCAGCATTAAACTTGGCCATGTAGTTGACCACAATCGAAAGGAAGAGCAGAAGGGTTTGCACATGACGCTGGCCAATGGCAGGACCTGCAAGGAATGACCAAGAAATTTGCTTAACTTAAAGTAGAATCCACTAAATCCAAGTCAGTCTACTTTGTTTCCGAACAATTGCCAATTCATTTCCATTTTATGATTGCATTTAAATCAAAGTTTCGAATTGATTTGGCGCACTGATAAAGCTTTTCGGAATGACTTTTGATTCACTGAAACGATCAGCCGATCGTTGTCACAGTTGAAGCGTTCTTGCAGGGATCGGAAGTATCCTTTTTGGATCTGCTACTAACCCGTATTCGCCGTTTCTGCCGTCATATTCGTGTAGTTCCGTTCACGTTCGATATCGAGAGGCAACTCAATTTGCGGCTGGCTGTCAGTTTGCTTTACACCTTCGGCGCAGATACTCCAGGCAGCAGCAACAGATTGGAGCGGAGCTGCTAATCACAGTCTGAAGTGACAAGCGCCTAATGGACTGCAAATCACAGTACTTGACGGGCAAACACGATATCGATAACGCCGCAAGAAAACCCACCCAAAGCGACAGAGCGATAAGCACAAGTGATGGGAATTGCCTTGGTTCCCTGCCCAATGAATGGACGACTGCAATCCGGATGCGCAGATCTACCCTGCCACCGATAAGGATCGAAAGGGAAAGGCCACCCCACACCACCGCCAACCCAAGGCAGACCTCTTGTCACAGTCATGCGACAGTTTGAGCTCTCGAGAGAGCTCACGGGCTTACCGTGTTGTAATCTTATCGCGTGTGCCATACTTCACACGATCCAACCTCCAAATTCTGGAGAGTGAAGTCCCTCGGCGCACGAGTCGACAGCTGGAGTGTAGAGTTATCAGTGAGCCCTTCGGCCAGGTGTATCTTTCATTTATTGGACTACAACGCTTACAGAGTATTACAGAGTTTTATACAATATTGCTTGACTTTAGAGTGGATCTTTCAGCGACTCTCCTCCTCCTCTTCCTGCAGCCGCAGTATGTCCGCCTTGTTGATGAAGTAATAGCTGGGCTGACGGCCCTTCAAATCTTTGGCGGTGCGCTTGGCCCCGTTCTGGATCAGTATGCGACTGACGCTCTCCAGTGAGTTGGTGCCCATGGCATAGTGCAGCACAGTGCGTTCCAGCTGTGGATTCAAAGTGGAGTCATTTAACGGCGAAACCTTTGGGCTAGAGACTTACATTATCCGTGATCTTGAGTGTTTCGGGACAGAGTTTCACCAAATGTTGAACCATTTCCTCGGACTCTTTGAGCACGGCTATGTGTAGAGCGGTGCGACCTGCAAAATTAATATTCTTGATCAGAAATGGTTCCTCTTTCGTGGCTCACTTATCTTACCATAATAGTTCTTGGTCTTGATCAACCACTTGACATTGGAGCCCGTTGCGGTGAGCTGCTTCACTCTTTCCATGTTGTTCTCTCGGATCATTTGGTGCAGCTCCTCGCGCGTCTCCTCCAGCCCACGCAGCTCGTCCAGAAACTCGGCCAGCGCCGTGTGCTGTCGCGTGGCCACCACATCCCCAATGGACTGACCGCTCTCATCCTCGATGTCCAGAATGTGATCGTAGCCTTGCAACGCCAGCTGATCAAAGGGTTCCACTTGACCTGCAGAGAGGAAGAGATTTGAGTGGAGCTAGATCTGGTTTTCAGACTGATCTCCGACCAATCCCTACCGATGGCTGCCTGCGCCAGTATATAGCGATCGATCTCTGCCGCATTGTTGGGCTGATTGGCCTGCAGGGAGACGTCGCGCGCGGTGCGGTAGAGCTCATCCCGGTAGGTAATGTCGATGCCAGACTCCTCGATGAGGGTGTACAGTGCCCCACGGCGATGGGAACGAGCGCAGGCAAAGTGCAGCATGCTCTGACCGTGCTCGTCCCGCTCTTCCATGTGCTGCACGGCCAGAGCTCCGTCTGCATCCTCCTGGTCGGGCAGCGAACGGGCATCCAGCTCGATGAGATCGGCATTGCCGATGCCATTGCGACTGCTGAGCAGTTTGGGCTGCGTTTTCGCCATCGGGTTGGAGGAGGAGGTGCCCGTGTGCACTTCCACTTGCGTGAGGGGCTTGCGTTCGCCTATGAAGTGCTGCAGATAGCCGGTCAGATAGGCCACCGGATCTTTGGGTCGCTTATTGGCAATCTCCGTTAGAGCTTTGATCAGTGGATCAGCGAGTGCTGAGGGCAGAAAAGGGAAATGATTAACGGTGGATTGGTTTTAGAGTTTGTATGCGCTCATACTCACAGTCTGCCAGATATTTGCCTTGTTCCGTTTTGAAGATGGGATTAGCCTGAAAGCTAACGGTTTGCGCCTGACCTGTACAAAAGAGAGAAAGCAGAATTAAAGAGAATCTATCCAGTTGGCGAGGGGGAAGAGGGAGGGTCCCAGGTAGTCTACAACAGAGGTCGGCAGCGTCGGGCAGCGCAGTCGGCCCATGCACAGAGAACAGGCGCAGCGGCAGAGAAACAACTTCGTGTGGGCCCATGGCACTTCGTTGCTCGTTCGGCTGCGCGCAGCGGCAGAGAAGCAAGAAACGTTTTTGGGCTTCGCGTCTGTTGTCAGTGCATGCAAACGCACCAAAACTTGTGACTGACTACCTGCGTGCCAACCCCTGATCTACATACACAAAGCGAGAGGGGGGAGGAGTGGGGTTTCTGTGCATGGGCGCATGTGGATCTCAAAGAAACATTTGCAAATCATACTGAAATCGCAACGGGACTACAATCCAGGGACGTACATATGTACATGTGTGTAGGTGTAAACTGAATGCGAAACTTACGATTACGGAATTTTGGAATGTGTGCGGCGTACGAAGCTCAGCGTAAAGCGGAGGAGTAGGTGACGTAAGACGTAATTGATTGATTTAGTTTATTTGGATGGCAATGCTGGGCGTACAAGAGAGTCAAGAGCGAGAGAGTCGATCAAGTTATATATAGATATGCATATAAAGGTACGAGTATGTATGTATGTATGTACATTGAGGGTGGGAGTTGTCATTGTGTGGACCCCATCCGAATTCCCATCCTCAATTACGATCCACAATGCTGTTCTTCTTGCGCTTGAAGATCTTCACCAGCATGGTGGCTATGTGCTTGGAGTTTGTCAGCGACATGTCCTTCTCCAGCGACAGAATGTTCGTTACGGCCGTGCAGTAGTCCTGGAACAGCACGTACTCCGCAATGCCCATGCTCTGCATATTGATGAGGCGCACTGTGAGCTTGGACAGGCGATTCGTCACCATGCTGAGACCCCGCACGGAGCACAGATGCCGCAGGTTGTCCATCTCCTTCATGAGATTGGGCAGCTTCAGGATTGTCGTCATTTTCAGCCCGGTGCCCAAGAAGGCGGGCCGTGACTGCAGATAGCCCAGCAGATAGCTCTCCTTGAAGTGCAGCTGCGTCTCCAGATAGGTGACGGCGCGACCCACCCTCGTGTAGGCCGCACCCATGTCCGCTGGGTCTTTGCTGTTCGTCGTGGAGATGACACGCAGATGCTCCTGGCAGTTCAGCCACACGGCCATGTTGTGGGCAGAGTTGACAAAGACACCACGGCCGTACGGCCAGAGGGCGCCATTGAAGGCCGTCGACTCGGCCGCCTGCACCAGATCTGTGGTGTCCAGCAGGGAGATCATGAGCCCCAGGCTGCCCAGCATCAGGGCCACCTCCGATTCGGGCTCGAGCAGTTCCGTCAGCGTGTAGTAATTGCCAGACTCCGTCTCCCCAATGGCATCCGCAAAGCTTGTGGTGAATATTTTGCCCATCATGAGCCGCTCGGCCTGCTCCAGCTGGCCAATGGTCAGATTGAGGGGCAGCTCCAGCTGGTCGAGATTGCGCGACGCCTCCACCGTGCAGCGCGTGACCAGCAGCGACTCATCGTCATAGACAAAGGCGGCCGTGTTCAGCCGATCCCCATTCTCCATGGGAAAGTAGGCGAGTCGCGGCTGCGGCTTGAAGTCCGCATCGATGCACAGGCAGTGCATGTCCTTGAGCAGCGGCACCAGGAACTCCTGGAACACCACAAACACATCAAAGTCCGGCGCAATGATGCCACAGTTGATGTCCTCCTCGAGGTGGCGCGCCTTCGATGTCTTCCGCATTGCCGGCCACAGCACGTCGAAGAGATTGTGATCGAGCCGCGTCTGGCGGCGCTTGATCTTCTCGTACACCCCTCGCTTGAGGAAGCGACTCAGGAAGCTCGTCACCGACAACTGCAGCGACGAGGCACTCACTGGCTTGCGGTGTGCCAGCGCCGAGGCTGTGCTGCCACTCAGCAGCTTGCCCGACTCCGCTATGACGCTGTAGCAGCGCTCCAGGGTGCGCGAGATTTCGCCATCCTGCAGCTCTCGCCGGGCACTGTGCAGATCGTCGGGCACTGGGCGGCGTTTTGGGTGTAATTTGGATATTTTGGATATGATGAATATCATTGAACACACACGCACAGCCACAACATAGAGCACACACACAAACACGAATGAGAAGGAATGGTGGGTGGGTGCTTTGGTGGGTGCAGCAGCAGAAAAAAGCGCCAAGACGTGCCTTCAAGTGCATAAAAGGAAACCCCAAGTGTGCGAGCTCTTACATACCAAATAAATCGTCAATATTGCCAATAATTTGATTAAAAAATTCACGATTTGCCTCCATTGTGAGCACCGGAGTCGACCACGCGGACGAGTGTGTGACTATTGACTATTGAGCGAAGGACGAACGAATGAACGTAGGAACGTAGGAACGAACGATGTGTGCTGCACGGTGCGACTGAAAATCGATGACTGAATGCTCGACCAGCAGAGCAGAGCTAGAGCCAGAGTACAGTACACACTCCCCCCCCCCCCCCCCCCCCCCCCCCCCCACAAAATATTATTTTTTTTTTTTTTTCTGGGTGGGGGTGACAGCGCCCCCCCGCCTCTGTTTGCAGAAAAGAGA